TAGTAAAGCTTCCCCTTTAACGCTTACTTTAACTTTTAACATAAAGTGCTGTCAGCACAGTAAATAATGCAGTCTCTGTTCTTGATTCTAGGTGCAAAAGAGGAGAAGGAACATTTTTGCTACATTACAAATAAAGTTCCTCGGATCTGTTAGCGCAGTCCTATGTCTATAAAAACGTTCAGGTTCACTCCCAGAGTAACACGTTCTCTAAATGTTTTTAAACAAGTTAAATTTCAGTTTATGTATATTGAACTCAAAAACAGACTAGACGATAAAATAGCCTATATTAATACAACAGAATGTTCTCTATGGATTATTTAGCGATTATTTAGAACAATATACTATATATATATATATATATATTAATTACACACCAAACTGGACTACAGGATGCTTCGACATTGTGATAAACTGGGTTTTCAAAATGTCACAGGGCGATTTCAGATGTGAAAACAGCATTTCCTGAGTCGGCTTTGTGTTCATGTTTCTACACGCTCTCACTTCTACTGGAGTCAATCTGAGTCTGACGAGTTGAGTTCAGCTCATGAAAAATGGGGCCAAAAACAAAAGTGTTGCGTTTATAATTTTGTTCAGTGTATATTACTCAAAAATACAAATTAAATAGTTTTTGTTTGTTTTTCAGATAGTAGTCTAGTAAAGGCTTATAGAAATAGCCTACTACAGACTATTTCAAAAGTGTATGTAAAAAATAATCTTCACTGTATACATTAAATATAGATGATTCTTATTAAAGTTAATAAGTGATTCAGTCAAGAGCAGTGAGTGATTTTCTCCTTTTCTTTTGTTTGATTAACATTTATGACGTAGTCGGCAGCTGCAGGTTTACGCTGTTGCTTTACGATCCAACGCATAGATCAAATATTTTGACACATCTGTATTTCTCCCAGCTGTTCAAGTTCACTTAAGACAAAACCGACTGCATTTACACGAATAGTCTCCAAGACGGACATTTTGATACACGAAAAGTTATAAGTGTATCGCAATAACAGAACTTAAGCGAAAGAGAACACGGCATTCGCACGCTGACTGAGAGGCGCGTTTATTCTGTGAGCCCGCTTTCCGTGTGTGAGCACAGAAACCCGTCGGCTTTCAAGTACTAGTCAAAACTTAAAAACACATGCAAATACCGAATATCACTCTAGTGATAATGAATTGAGTCAGTGACATTTCCGTCAACTGTCCCTGGACTCGGACATATTTTCAGAGTCCGAAAGGCTCGAGTCCGAGTCAAGTCTGAGTAAAAATGCATCCGAGTCCTTTAAAAAACTGTACTCGAGACCGGACTCGAGTCCGAGTAGCCCAACTCTAACCATCATTGTCAGGCATAGTAATATGCAAACAAGATCTGGGGCCAGTTGCACCATAGTCACTATGTTAAGACTGTGTCTTAAGTTCTAGTTTTACCAACCAGCAGGTAGCCAAGAGGTAATCAGTCTTACTTTTTTTGATTCAAATTAGACCAATCTACCTTTTTGTCACTGACTTTAAAAAGCTATGACCAGTCTTGAAGAAAAAAAATATGACTAACTTTTAAGACTAGTCTGAGTGGTTTATGCAACCAGCCACTGATCTGAGTAAAACAAAGAAAACTTGTTGACAGGTCCTTAAAAAAAGCTGAAAACTTGTATTAAGTAATTGAAGGAACTTTCTCCTGGCATTTGCACTGGGGTACAATGATGATATTGGTTGTCAGTAATTCTTAAAATATTACAATAAGTTACAGGACACTGATAGTTTGACCTGATGGTCTGACAACCTCTATATTCTACATAAGCTTTCTTTACAATGTAGGGGTACGGTACATGTATTCGACCCAAACGGTCACGGTTCGGTTCATGCAGTCAGACGATGAGTACAGTCAGTCATAGGCGCTCAATCCAGAAGGGTGTGTGTGTGGCAATGCAACTCTAACGTCACAACAGGAAAGAGCAGCAGAAGAGCTGATCTAAGCACCAACTTAAAACAATAATGGCCCATTTGGCAGGCATGCAAGGGCTTGGAGAACTGCCTGCTTGTTTTAAATCAGCAGTGAAGGAAAGTTTCTGGTTCTAGAGATGCTGCATTGCAATAATTTCCCAAAATGTAATTTGTGTGGAAATTTTATGAAGTCTGTAAAGAGCAGGAAATACTGTACAGATCATGCTCACTGTTCGCAATGCTCGAAATATAAGAAGACCAATAATGTCACAATCTCCTACTGGAGTGTCTATGTGCTCCTCTAGAGGGCACTCCATCATTTACCTGTACCATTGTTTCATGGACTACATCTCCCATAACACCCCATGCCAAGAACTACAGTCATGGCCAAAAGTTTTGGCAGTGACATAAATTTTGTGTTTTGCTTAAGCTGTTGTAGTTTTCATTCACATTGTTTCTAGATTATTGTGTAGAGTGATCAGGTGCATTTTAAATAATCGCTAAAAGCTTCATTGGCCATAAAATGAACTTTTCACAAAAATAAATAAATAATTTCACAGTTTTTTGATCCTGACACAAAATGACCAGCTAACATTAATTGACTAATCATATCAGCAGCACATGTGAAAGTGTGAATGAGTGCTAGTCAGGTAAAATCACTATCATACTAATTAGATTGTAAGAACCAACTGAGGTTATGAAGAAGAAGGGTCAACACTGTAAATATTGACTCATTATGTATATATGCAGCCATATCACCCTGTAGCCCAAGACTGGTCGCCCACTGAAGCTAAGCAGGGTTGAGCCTGGTCAGTACCTGGATGGGAGACCTCCTGGGAAAACTAGGTTGCTGCTGGGTGCTAGTGAGGCCAGCAGGGGGTGCTCACCCTGTGGTCTGTGATGGGGACACTATACTGTCAACAACCCCCAAAGCTTCACAGTCCTTTACCACTTCCGCGATCAACATTTCACTGTGTAACATTAGGCAGTTTTTATTTATATGCTGTTTATTTTTGATGATCTCATTATTTTTCATATGCATCTGCTTACACATGAGATTGCTCATTTCTGCATTTTCCTAGCCTGTGTTTTTGATCAAGAGATTGTGGACTCATTCAGGAGATGTGTAATAGTGCACCCAAGCATATAACAGTGAAAACACGGAAACCTGGAAAATTCTGTTTGGCGGGGAGCATTGTCTCATAAATAACGGACAATTCCGTGTTTGGTGGGGAAATAGTTAATCAGACTCCTCTAATAGCCATGGTCAAAGCTACCCCTGCTCCTGCAACATCAGTCAGTTTACCTGTTAATTGGTCTGACATCACCTCAGCACAGACGAACGACCCAGAAATACAAGAACTATGCAATAAAGCTACTCTACACACCAGTTCTGATCCCACCAGGGTACTTTATGTTCTGGAAAATGTTTTTTTTGTTTCGTAATGTTCCTGATGGTGAGAGAGTTCCAAAGCTCCAGTTGGTCATTCGCTGGTCATTGATAATTCACTGAGTGGTCAAGTAGGTAGACTTAAAACTCTGCTGCGACAAATGGAAGTTGCATACTGGCGAAGCCTAAGATCTGACGTATGGAAGTACTGTAAAGAGTTGCCCAACTTGTCAAAAGTACAAACCATCTTTTTTGAAGCTGTCAGGATACTTGCAATCAACTCCAGTGGCGGAATCCGGGTACATGTTAGGTGTTGATTTGATGGGTCCTTTCCCCAAAAGCTCCAAGCAAAATTAACATCTTTTAGTGGTGGTTGATTACTGTTGAAAATGGGTGGAACGTTTTCCTTTGAGAATGGCCAAGGCTCCTCAGATTGTCTGCATCTTAGTGGAGGTAATATTTACAAGGTGGGGAACTCCTGTTTATATGGTGTCTAATCGAGAAGCTTAGTTTACATCTCATCTGTTAAGTCTTGTCAGGGGATAGTCACTGGGATAAATGGTTATCTGAATTCAGGTTTTCCATCAACACAGCTTGGCAGGAGAGCACGGTTACACACCTGCTGAAATTGCACTGGGTTATAAGTTGAAGGGTCCCTTGAGATAGCCTTACCTAAACCCCCGACACCTGACAATCCTGCATATGACATCTGTAGTGTCGTCAGCCGCTGCTCTGAGGGCTCACACTCAGTCTTGGGGTTTTGATGCCAGAAGATACACTTTATTACATCAAGAATAAAGTGGAGAAGTTCTCTGCAGAGAAAAATCTCCAGAATGTTTTTCTGCCTCTCTTCTTATACAGTTTTGACTTTAAGGCGTGGGGTATAAATGTCATAGCGTTTTCCTTATACATACAATTCGATTCCTCCCTAGAGAGAAGGGGTTCTTGTTATGGTAAAGAAAGAAGCCCCATTTGTATTTTTCCAGATGTTTCTAATCTGAGGTTCTGTACAGTTTAGCCACGTAGGCATATCTACACACAGGCATATATGATTATAATGGAAGAATAACTAGATATATAAATGGTTATATTCGCCTTGATTATACTTGATTAATTCATATTTTGATTAATAAAATCTTCGACACATCACGGAGAGAAAACAAAGTATGGTTCATCCAGTCAAGGAGAATGTGAAGAAGGCTTATACAAAACAGAAACATAACTACGACCTGAAAAGACAACATACAGTCTTCCAAGAAGACAATGTAGTCTGGGACTTACCCCTTATCAAAAGCTGAGATGCAGTCATGGCAAAACTGTCTCCTAGATAGAAGAGTCCAGTTTGCAAATGCCTTGGTCCAGTCAATTATGCCATTTAATTTATTGATAACACTGATTCTGTTGATTCTTATCATGAATCAAAAGTCAATGTGTACAAGGCTGAAGAAGACAGCAGAAACACTAAAATTATAAAATGTAAACATTTTAAAACAAAATTATTTTCTTTACAGGTTTACATTCAAATAACATGTTAACTAGACTGCTGTTAGTGATAAGGCTGGGCACATATTTAATGGCAAAAAAATTTGAGCAGACAGTAATTGAGCAGAGAAGTGTCACTCATTCAGAAGATAAGAATCCCTGATGTCAGCCCTGTTGCAGTTTGGAGCAGTTAGCCAAGCCCAGGCCCAGTTCTACAGGGGTTCAAATGACAGCAAAAGCACCCTCACTTGAAGCTGTAATAATAGCATACTAGCAAAAGAGATCTGGCAAACTATCAAAACTTTCAAAAAAGCCTAGTTCCTCAAATTAAAGTTAGAGACTTATTTTCTTCAGTAGAAGACTAAAGATAGTTTTTAGCTAAATCCATGGTCCTTGGTGATTCATGAATGTCAACTGGTGCCTGCAATGTATTGAGGTCTTCTGAAGTGAAATGATTGGTCTGTGTAAGAAATTGAACATTATTTACAACATTATAACCTGCAATCCAGACCCTCAGACAAGCCATCCTGGGGCGGGTTGCATAAACTGCTTAGATTTGTCATGCGCTGCCTACTGTGTCGGAGTGAGGAGCGAAGGAGCAAAGGAGCAAGGAGACTTGGGAGAATTCTCGAAGAGACAATCTTTATTAATCCAAATAAAGACTCATGGGAAGGAACACACACGTAGCACGATGGACAAAGGAAAACACAGGGCATGAATACTAGGAACTAAACGAAGAAATTAACAAGAAACATTGACAAGAAACACCTGGAATCAATAAACACAATTAACACGAGGGAGAATCTAGGTCACAGGGAGAACATGGGAAGAAAAACACACAAAGACAGTCCAGGGGTGTGACATTATCTCCCCCTCCCGGAAGGCGCCACACAACTTCCAACCAGGCCTCTATGGGCAGGCTTACATGGGACGGAAGGCCTCCAGGGCTGTACCCGTTCTGGGACCCATGGCAGAGCTGGCAGACTAGGGAGCCATGGCGGAGCAGGCAGCTCGGGGAGCCATGGCGGAGCAGATAGTTCAGGGGGCCATGACGGTCTCTACGGCCAGAGCCCTATAGCCCGCCTCCCAAAGATTCCTTGGGGGAAATTTCGGGTTCTGAGGCCCTCTGTGGGCCTGACGTAGGAGCAGCGGCCCTCCCTGGGCTTGACTCTGGAACTGTTCCTGAGTTTAGTCCAGAAAGGGCTCCTGTTCCCCGTCCAGCCCAGAGAGAGCTCCCGTTTCCATGTCCAGCCCAGAGAGGGCTTCCGTTCCTGAGTTTAGCCCAGAGAGGGCTCCTGTTTCCCTGTCCATCCCAGAGAGGGCTCCTGTACCGCTGTCGTCTGGCAGCCCCTCTCCTCGCCCTCAGCCCACCATACAGTGTGAGCTCCGCGGGTCTGCCATCCTCCATCGTCACCGTGGCTGGAGAATCCCTTGCCTCCGCCTCCAGACTCTAAGCCCCGGGCTCCACCTCGGCCTGTCGTCCCAGCGGCTCCACCATGACTCCTAGCTCCCTCCTCTCCACCGAGGCCCATCAGTCCACTGGCTTCACTGGGCTCCCTCGTCCCTCGTCGTGGTCCATCCTGCGCCTCGGGGCTCCACTTCTCCGGCTGTGCCTTGTCCCTCTGGCTCCGTCAGGCTCCTCCTTCCCTTCGGCTCCACCTTGGTCCTCTGTCGCTCCGGCTCCACCGCGGCCTTCTGTATCCCCGCCTCCATATCGGTCGCCTGAGCCATCTGCTCCGCCTTGGCCTTCCGGATCCTTGTGTCGCCCTGGCGCATCAGCTCTCGGTCTCCGCCTCGGGCTTCTCCGCCACCTGCTCTGCCACCATTGGTTGGCCCCCTGGAGTTGTCAGCCCTCCTCCCGCCGTCGGCTCCACCGTGGGTCCCCATTACGGCTGTGGCCTGGGTCCCAACTGGCTCTGCATGCTCCAAGTCCCTCCTGTCGTCTCCCTGGCTCCTCCCTCCGTCTGATCCGCCCTGGCTCCTCCTGTTTCCTCCTTGGCTCCTCCCTCCATCGTCACCCCCTGGACTCTGTCTGTCGGCCCCCTCCCGGGTGTCCGTCCTTCTCCTGAACCTCCTCCCAAGTTCCCACCCGTCCCTTCTTCTGTTGTTTCTTTGGTGCGAGGACACGCCTTCCGGGAGGGGGGCGATATGTCAGGAATATGGACTGTCTGTGTGTGTTTTGCTCCCCATGTGCTCCCATTGACTGAGTTTTCCCTCGTGTGTGACATGCCCATATTTGGTTATCTTCTTGTTCCTGTTCCGATTGTGTTTGATTGATCTCAGGTGTGTCTCATTAATTCCCTCATTTCGTTCAGTATTTAAAGTGTGTTCTGCCCCTTGTTTCCTGTCCGGTGTTATATGTCAATAGGTGCTATGTGTGTCTCCTGTGTGCCCTGTTTTCCCTGCGATTTTGGATTATTAAAGACTCTCGTGTGGTGTAACTCCTACGTCTCCTCATCTCCTCGCTCCTCACAGTAGCAGTCGTGACAAGACTAGTCTTAAAAAGTTAGTCATCTAATTTATTTTCTTCAAGACTGATCATAACTTTTTAAAGTCAATTATCTACATCAGGGGCAGGTTGCATAAACTGCTTAGACTAGTCTTAAAAATTTAGTCATCTAATTTATTTTCTTCAAGACTGGTCATAACTTTTTAAAGTCAGTTACAAAAAGGTAGATTGGTCTAATGTGAATCCAAAAAGTAAGACTGACTACCCTTTGGCTAACTGCTAGCTGGTCAAACTAATTTGTAAGACACAGTCTTAACATAGTGTCTATGTTTATGCAACTGGCCACTGGAGCTCAAACGTTCTATCACATAATGACCTACAGTACTTGTCAAGTTTGGAAATGATTTTTAAATGTTTACAATGAAGTCTCTGCTGCTCACCAAGGCTGCTTTTATGTGCTCAAAAATAAAAATAGTATAATGATTTAAAATAGCTGTTTGTAAAAAACATTTTAAAATGTAATTTATTCCTGTGATGCAAAGCTGAATTTTCAGCATCATTAGTTTTGGCATGTGTTTGGTAAAGCAGAGCCTGAGATGCGTTACCGCCACATTCTGCTTTGAAATTTGATTGGGGTAATATGTTGTATTATGATAAACAAAAACTCACATCAGATGCACACACTAATGTTGAAACAATTGAAATAAGTACAGTGAAATGATACTTTTGAGAGGTGACTGATTCATCAACAAGTAGTTCAAATTAAAACAAATATGTTTTATTAACTCAAAAGATAAGAAAAAGTTTACTTTAATTAATCTATTTAATTAATTTGAACATTTGGGTTTACAGTGCTATCTAAATGGGGCCATTACATAGACTTCTAAAGCTAAATGTTTTTGATTTCTTTATTGATTGATTTATTTTTAATTCATTATACAGCATGTTATATATTTTATTTAAATCCATTTTCATAATGCTGAGAATAATTTTATACATCCATCAGAATGTGTGTGTACGCGCATATTGTGATCTGCCATATATGTTAAAATTCCTTCACTTATTTTTGATATTGTTTGTTCATCATTACAACCTTCTTTTTCTCACATGACCACAGAGAGACCAACAATACCCTGTGATGGAATGTGACTGGATAGACCCACACGTGGTCTGCAGATGTGCCAGGATATAAATCTTCGAAAATGAACCTAAAAAGTTCAATTTTGATCTGTCAAGGGTCAAATTTGTACAAAGTTGATATTTGTCCCTGGAGGTCTTGGGTCAACCTCGGAATTCCACATATTGACATCTGGCGATAATTAAAAGGTCACTGGGTCAACCCCCCAGGGGGGAAAGGTCAAAGGTTACCATCCATCAAATATTTTGACAGAAGGTGGAACCATATTAACTACTCAGCAGTAGTAGTAAGTGTGGCTCGGCTGCTGGATTCAATGCTTTGTGATTAAGCATTTGGATGCAGAAAGCTTCAGTTTTGGACATTATTTGGACATTATTGGACTACAAACCAACAGATAAGAGTCTCTGTAAAACATAACTTTCACATTAACCTGTACAGTTCTGATGCATAATTCATATGATGAGCCATTTCTTTTTTTTGTCTAATGTGATTTATTTATTTTATATATTTCTTTTATATATTTTGGTTTTCTTTTTTGGTTATTGGCTAATTTGCTATGTCTTTGTGTGCATTTAAACTTCTTAATGCTTATTTGCTTGGCAATCATCCTTCCTGCTTGTGTTTTAAACTGCATCTAGACATCTACCCACCAGTGGTATTCCATCCATATAAGCGGTGAATGCTCTGCATATCCAGGCCATCTGAGAGAATGAGTTTGTGGACTAATTAATATAAACATGATCATAAGTTGATCCCTTGCCATTTGAGATGTAACGTCAAGCTTAATAAAGTGTTGGGAATAAGTACTTAAAATGATTTATTTGCCAAACAACAGTAATTTTCTGTAAATCAGGGCCCGTATTTATCAAGCCTCTAAAAATGATTCTCAAGAACACTGCTAAGAATTGACTTAAATGTAAAAACAATTCTTGGCTCAAAGCTGCGCTTAAAAGTTATTTATCAAGCATCTCAGTCGTAATTTAAGCAAAGTGTAGGACTAAATCTTAAGTGTCAGTCTTAGAGTTGATTCACGATACTTTGCTGTGCCACAAACGGGATTTTGGATGACGACATATGCATGGACCAATCACTGAATAGATTTTCTTATTTAAGAATATTCTCAGATAAATTCACATTGAATGGTTACATTTCTAATAGGGGTTTACATTCAACACACATTTGAAAATAAACCATTTTCAAGACAATGCATAAAGCGTCATCACAACCTTCAATTTAGGGTTGTGCTGATAGACGATAGTATAGTGTATCGATGATAGTCAGAGATATCGCCTGTTTCTGATGCCTTTGACGACAGCAAGATGATGATTATTATTATTATCCGTCAAAAATAGACTAGGTGCCTATCTTCAGTGATGCAGTGCGGAAAGCCGCTTCAGAAACTTGCCGCGGTGCGGCTGATCAGCTCTAGTGGCCGTGGAGCCGTAATGTGCCGCAGACGTGTGCAGTGTAAATAAGGGGTAGTGATTTATTCATCATACAGTTTAGATAGCTTCACTGATTATAATGGGAGTGTTTTTTAAAGAGCATATAATACTCATGCTAGACCGGAGTCAGCTATGATGTTCTTTGGTAATGTAAATGTTTTTTCTTTGCTCGTTTTCTGTTTGAATAACTGAGGAAATGTAACCGTTTGATTAACTGCTCATTGTCAAACATTTCAAGAACATTCTTCCTCTTCTGAAAG